ACACAGTTATTTGTTTCAAATAAATCTTAATTTTGATTTTAAAGTCCAGAAAAGAATAATTGAGTTTTGTTTTGAAATATCGAAGGGCTACAAGGAAAATTAAAATAATTTTGGTTATATAATGTAGAATTTTCATCTTAAACCCACATCTGGTATTTCTTATTTATCCATCCGTATTATAAAATAGCTATTTTTAAGTTTTTATTTTATTTTAAAGTTTAATAATTTCAAGATATAAAAAAAAATTGTGCAAAATTCCTTTTCTTTATTTTTTCTGTGCATTGAGCTGACCAACCACCTGTAGATCCAAAATTCCATTTACGTGATTGACTGAATTTCTAGGTGTTCAAATAATAGCACGTAAAATTATGTAAATTTATAAGAAAATAGTAATCAAGCACATTTATTAATTGCACACCCGCTCTCTCAAAGGTACATATGTGTGAGTAAGTAGTTTGTGTCTTTGTTAATAAGCGCGACGCAGTTTGTGTTTTGTGTGTGCTAAATTTAGTAGTCAAAGTTCAATGCGGAATATTGAATAACTGGAGGAAGCACAAGGGCTTAAATACTCCTCTTTCGAATTATACTACTTTTCCAGACAACTTGGTACATATTTGCACATGTGCCGCAATAGAGAGCGACGGATCGCGAGAGCCGAGAAGCAAACAACAAATAAAGAATTCACAAATGCGTAAGACGTCAGCTTGGTTTAATAAATAAAACAAGCAGGAAAATAAAGCAAGCTGCTCGTAATTCAAAAATCAAGTTTTCGATCTTTACAGCCAGAAACTTATAAACAAGAAAGAGAGCCAAAGCTAGAAACTAATAAGGCACACAGAAAGAAATATCGTATTTTATTTTTCACTGGATATCTATTGGTGAGTGTGTTACATTAATTTAAAAACTTTGAATTTAATCTCTATATCATTATTCAATTTACTACATTTACCATAACTTTAAATTTTGATATGAAAAATTGTATGCAATTTTTGAAATTAAAGTGGTCATTACAAAATAAATAAGCCTGTTAACATGTACTAATACTTTTTTTAAGATTATTATTGACAGCATGTTAAATTGTACTATCTTTTTTTTAGAAAAAATCAAAAGCATTAAGTTGCTGCAAAATCCAAACGTAAACTAGGCCAGATAAACCAAAATGCTTTTTAGCTAGTTCGGTTAAGCACTTTCAGAATCGGAAGTCCAAGCAGAAATTACATTTTCTATATAAAAGCATTTGTCATAAAAAATCGTAAGTCGATCATAAAATTTTGTTGACTTCACTATTATTAGGGTTTTTGTTAATATATATATTATATAAATTAAATTCTGTTTCCTGTGAATTTGTAAAATTAGATAAACACGGTAAGTTTACTTTACTTTATTAAATAGAAAGAAAAAAAAGAAAATATCTCAATATAATTTTTAAAATAGTATATTTTTCTCTGTTTAGAAAGAGTGTAGATCGAAAAGAGAAAGATTACAAAGACAGAACTTGTGGGAGAGCTGATTTCAGCGGCATAACGGTAAAGGGCAAGCCCCACATGTAGTAAACCAAAAACAAACCGCCAATACAGTCAAGCCTCTTTGCCCAGAATCAATGTTATAGCTAAAATCAATGTATTTTAATTGAAATGTTTTCGGCTGGATTTTATTGCTGTTTATGTTTACTTTTCACACTCGTATGTTTAATTATAATGTTACCAGAAGATGAGCGGCCCCAAACATCTTTCGGGGGTACGACTGTACTAACTAAAAGCGCGAAAATCGAACGGAAAACGTTAAGGCGAGATAGCCAGTTGTTTATTTTTATTTGTGTGTTCATGTTAGACCTTAATTAAGTGTTAAAATGGCATGAAATTAAATCTGCGAGTGTGAGTTAGATGGAATTGATGACGCTGTGACGATAACGTCATTATCGTTATCACCCCCAAGCCACTTGAAAGGCGCAAATGTTATCAGCATTCGCATTCGCAAGAGAGCAACAACAACAGATTCCAGTCCCCAATCCATACCCAGAATCGGCCGACATTATTCAGCTTTAGCTTGGGACTTCAGCTCAGGCACACGGCATCCGCCCATGCTTCAATCTCTCCACTCCTCGGGGGGCCATTGGGGACATTGCCACTGCTATTGCGATATTGCTAATGTATTGCTACAGCCAGCTGGCTCTATTCGACGGACATTCCTACCTACAGTGGCGGTCAAACAGATAGTATTTAAATAGCCATTAGAGTAGTAATAAAAAGTACAGAACAAATCAAAAACAAACACTATATTTTGGAATCTATAAACTTATCAGACCCATTGAACATTTATAGGTCCGATTTCTCGGCAAATAGTCAAACCTGCCGACTTTACGTTAAATTCAAGAAACTGTTATTTTCATCAATTTTATTTACTAATATGTAATATTATAAACTAAATCTTTTCTTGCTATTATATTAAAATCAATCACATTTCCTGTAAGATTAGAAAGTCTAAGTATTAACACCACTACTGCATAATTACATTTTTTAAATTCATTCTTGAAATTCGTATATGTATGAGGGGCTAATTGAAATCAGTTTGGACTTCTGCAAAAGTTGTTTAAGAGTTTTTTGTTTTCAAGATTCAGCTATTTATAAAATTTTTAAAATTAGACTGTTGTTTTACAAGTACACTTTTTCTAGTTTTCTGCTGGCATCTGTATAAACTATGTACGTATATATCGTAGTTTTTGCAACACAGGCCAGTTGAATGCACCCCAGTTGCTTATATGGCACACAATTGATAAGAACGCAAGAGATTCTCGGATTCCAATTGTATTGCATACCTTGGTGTGTGTGCGTGCGCAGGAGTAATCATAATAGCAAATAATTAGTATTGATTACAGCGCTTCGCCATTGATTGATAACACTATGCAAATTAATTCGTTTTGAAACAGTCTCTTTTTGGGAGAATTATTTCACATTAACTAAAGTTATGATAAGATTTCCATTTCCTTCACTGCATATTTTAAAATTTTTTTAATATCAGTATTTGATTACCCCTGATAAATAATCCCTTTATCATTAGAATATAATAGCTTATTTGTTTCTTAGTCTAATGGGGCGGAGCACGTGTCTCATGTGCGTACATTTATTACATTGTCCCTGTATTTATGTATATATATTTATATTGTACATACATACATATATCTGTACGATGGGGTCTGCGTGTGATAGCAGCGGCTAAAAATAATCCATACGCATCAGAGGGTCCCAGCATTGACGTTAGAGATTGGATTGGATTGGGTTGGATTGGCACATGTATGGTTGGTTGCATTGCCTTGAAGGGCAATGTCGATAAAGGCTTCATCACAGTGGTCTATAGCCCCCGAAATATGACCCAAATTAATATAATTGGAAAAAATAGGTGCGTTTATACCACTGTCGAAAGCCGACTTTGATTACACCAGTAAACAGCAAGGACAGCAAATAAGAAATACTAATATAAATATGCATTGTAATGAAACGTAAACAGGCGATAGTGCAAAGAGTTTTATAAACAAATTCATTTGCTATTTTCTCTCTGCCTCTCGCTTTCCTGCATTTTTCAATGCTGTAATCAGTTGCAGCAAAATCATATTTTTAAAACTTGATTATAAATTATATGAGAATAGCATTTCTTTCTGCAAGTAAACGGCACAAATATAGCTTGATTTATTTTTAAATAATTAGATAGAACCAAAACGATGTGATAAAATATTTAATATGCCTATATAATATTTCTATTTTACATTTTGTTATGCAAAATATACTTTTTAATTTGGTCTTAAAGGCTTGTGCTTAAACTTTTGTTTATTATCTAATGCCTTACAATAGTTTTTGGTAGAAATAACAAACACCAAAGTTTTAATTAAATTTTAAACTTCTATAACTAAGATTAATGATCGCTTCTATTGTAAATATTTTCCAAAAATAATAATAAGTGCAACGTTAAAAATACTTAACTGACTCTTCTCTTAACCTATGAAGAAACAAATATTAAAAAGATTTGAAATGAAAAACTAATAAAAACAGAAAACTGATCTTAATGTTTGCTCATGCGCAATATCCGGATAAAGAAAAGGCTAAGAGAGTGGAACGAGAGCGATGTCAAGGCTGCGTCACACATCGGAAATAGACATCAGCTACGATTTTGGTGGGCATAAATAAGCTACATATTTGCTGTTTCAGTTACTACAATTACTCCAACAGGCTGATCAAATATTGATCGACTTGAGGACCCCATGTGAGCCCACTACGTCACTGCTGACGGCCCCAAAGGGGTGGTGTTTGGGTTGTTGCCGGGGGAAGAACCTCCACGAAGTCTTCGCGATTGCGATTGGAATTCCATCCACAATGACCAGACATTGTTGCCTCAGCCGGGAACTTTCCTTTCCCATCGATAACAAGATAACAAGTAAATTGATTTAATTTAAATTTATGAATCAAGAACTCCCACAGCAAAGCGTCGCATTGCGGTAGTAACCGAAACTGGCTTTCAAACTGTTTTGACAGCTTTCCCAGTGGCGCGGAAAAAAGCTTAAAAACATATGTTCATTCTCGCTACTCGCCAGTGCCTTTAAAACTGCCGGAATAGACGAACCTGTAAAATACAAGATTCCAATTAACACATTCTAGAGTCAAACTGTTTACATTCCTCAAAAACGTTCATATTTCAAACTCAATTTATAATGTAAATATTCCGAAAACCCTTTCATACTAAATCAATGTTTTTTTTTAAATAGAGAATATTCCTATTAAGAAATAATTTTTTTTAGGTATTTATGCGATACCCCCTGTTTTCACATATTACAATTTAAACTAAAAATTCTTAATTCTTTAGTACTTAAAATAATGTCTTATTAAAAGTTTTCAAAGTTTACTCAATATAAGTTTCAAAAAGAAATACCAAAGGTTACAATCTATCCGAAAACTTAAATTAAATTTCTATCATTCATTAATGTAAATAATCAAACAAATAAAAGACTTCAATTCGTTTATCCTCAACATTCATTAACTCGAATTTTTTATGTGGGAGATGAGGTTCGAGTTAGGGAATTTCTACAGAATTTATTAATCTATTGCTTGGGGAATGATAATCTCAGATCCGATTGGTGCGGAGATAATCCTCCTCGTCGTCTCCGTCGACATCCTCTACCACGCTGTAAGAACTCTTGCCAGCACCTTCTTTGGCCAGATGCGTCTCGAAGAATTCCTCCACGGTATCCGTGTTCCACTTTGTGATGGACAGCGTCTCCTGAACTTTACCACCGGCATCCAGGAGCTTGACGACGGGATCCAAGCCCCTGACGTATTTGATCTGCAGGTTAGGGAACTTGGCGGGCCGGCCGCTCTGAATGAAGGCCTGAATCTGTGGGTAGGCCCGAAATTTGCATGTGCACACCTCTAGAATGGCCTTGGCATAAGTTCTCTGGGCCGCAGGCTGTTGGTCCAAAGTGCAGCATTGCTTGCAATGGGGTCTAGAGTATAAACAAAATATTTTAAATAAGTAAAGAGCGTAAACTTTGGAAGCCAAAGCTTGATATACAATAATTATAATCGTATTTGGAACTGGTTAGAAATACCAGTGTCTTTAAAACGTAAAAACTATGGTCCCTCAAGCTTGTAGAACTTAATGATAATTGTCGGACTTGAAAATTTGTCAATAAATATATTAATATAACATTAAAAAGGAAGAGAGTGGATTTTGTACAATGTTTTAGATAAAGAATATTTGGTATCCAAGTGTGCTATAGAAAAAATTGAGCATTATGATTCGGTTAGAAGGTCATTCCTGAATATTTAAGTTAAGTTTTCCCGAGCAAAGGATGTATATTATTAAAATTACTTGATGGTATCCAGGCCATAATCATCTAGTTTGTCGCAACTGGAACACATTAACTGGGCTTTAATGAAGCCCAACTCCCGGCAGTCGGCGGCTGTTAATTCAGCAAGGATTTGCTGACACTAAAATGATAAAATATAAATATAACACATGTTTTAGGTAGGTCTTTAACTCACGCTTAATGCCAACAGAAGAATCACCACAAATCGCAGCATCTTTACGGCTAAATTCTAATTAAATTTACTACGTCCACGTCGTTGTTTACAAAATTTTCAAGCCTTAGTGGTGGGAGATAGGGGTTGGAGATATGTGCATGCGCCTTATCGATTGCTATCGTTTCGATTTGGTTGCCTTAATACGATTCAAAATGTATGACATTTTTTCAACTAATATTGACAACAATTATAAAATAGAGCAATTTGTTTAAAAAACATGCACAGTTAGCATTTTCTTTTCGACCATCTTTTTTCGTGCTTTTGCGAATTCCTCACGCTTCCATTCCTACTATCGATACACATTAGGCAGCAGCCGGCCACCACTAGCTCAGAAATCGATAATTTATTCCTGGTGGTGCATTTGTTTTTTTCGCTTCACTCGCGAAGTGAGCCCAGTTTTAAATTAGTTTAATTGCATACAGTGAAGCACTCGAAAAGAACCCGTCGACTGTCGCTGTGCAGCCAAAAAACCAACAGTATTAGCTGTGTGCGTGTTTGGCAACAACAAAAATTCGAACAAATCAATAAAACGGAAACGTGAGAGAGCGCTGCGCAAAAGAGAAAAGAAAAGCGAACGCAATCGCCATCGACCAACGCATAGAAGAAAACAAGGTGAATAAATAGAACATGGCACAGAAAAAGCCAAATAGAATCAAATCGAATTAAAATCGAGCACAGAAATAGAAAATTCGAAGCGAAGATAGGGAAACAAATAACGGTCAAAGGAGCGCTCCAGGAGAGCCAAGGCTTTCCCCCTCTCTTTCTCTCCGCCTCCGTGCGTGTGTGTGTGTACATGTGTTTATGTTTTGTTTAGCAAATTAATAATCTTTATTCTGCGGGGATTTCGCCACTCAGGTGCTAAAAAAAGTGCACACTCTGATAAGTTTGGCCGTGTGTCGGTGTACTTGTTTATTTAATTCATATTTACACAAGTAAATTAATTCATTTGCCCTTGTACAATAACAACAAGCTTGCTTGGAAACTCGTTCTCGCATTTATTCTGCGCTCCTCTCTCTTCGCCCCTCATATTCTTTCTCTATTCCATTGCAATACCAATGCCTTTGTAAGTGTTTGTGTTTTCATTCAATCCAGGAAATTGCCCCTTGAGAGACCTTCCATTCAGACAGCTTCCATCTTCTTCTCCTTCCGCTTGCATCTTCAGTCTCTCTTTTGTGCTCCCGGTCCCGTTTAACAGGTTTACTTCTTACACTATTTCAGTGCTCTCCCTCCCTCTTGCACACCTGCTGCTTGGCAGCTGTCCACGCGCTCAAATTTCTTATCAACAAACAAACTCCGGCTGAAATCCAATCCAAAACCTGGCCCAAACTGCGTTGTTACTTTTCCACAGCAATTCGCTAATTTTCAACGCCTTTTGTCACGGCCCTGTTGCTTTCTCCCTCTCAACATCTGCCTACTCCCTCTACTTTTTATTTTTACACACACGCTAAGATACAGTTCAACTTAGCTAAGTTGAATTTTGTATTTCTACAATTAAACTAAGGTATCGCTGGCAGTTTTGCTAATCAAATATTGGATAAAACTGAGTATTTATCTATTTAGATGATATGTAAATAATACTCAGTATACATTTGTGGTCTGTAAATTTATATTTAAATCCTTTGATTTATTCTTTAGTTTCAAATAATAAAATATAAAATAAAATAAGGGTACAATATACAATATATATATATATATATATATACAATATCTCTCGGTGCTGAGCAATTTTGCAATATTTCAAATGCCCGCACATCTGACTCATCCGCAGGTAACTGTAATTACCAGTTACCATCCATATGTGCTCCGCACTTGTGGAAAGCATTCGTCACCTTATCAACAGCGATTTTTTTGTTTTTGGTGCTCTTGATTTTTCGGCACTAATGATCTAAAGCCCAATTTTAAATCCCACAGCTACACAATGAATTCTCCAATGTTTTTTGTTATAATATCTTGTGGATGGCAAATAAAAATTTTGATATACATATGGTTTGTATTATAAGGTTATCAAAAATTTATTGCAGTGTACTCTTTTGTTTGATAAGTCCTCAGGTGCTCATTTAGCTTGTTGGCGTCTATTAGCTCATTATTCAAGCTTACGTCCGGCGCACCCACACACACTACTAAAAACTAAAAGAAAAATAACACATACACTCGCAGAAAGTAGCCTTAACTTAGGCCCACTCACTCTTGATTGGCTTGAACTATTTTTTGTGCCTGTTCAGCTGAGTTTCCATTTCAATTGACCGAAAGGTCAAGATAATTGCATTTGTGTTTTGCGTCTGTCGGACTGTCTCATTCGCACTCTCACTCTTCTTCTGATATTTCACTCGTCAACTTTCACTCGTACGCAGTGTTGTTTTTATTTTTAGACGCAGGGTGTATATGTGTTGTAAGGAAAAGGTTTTGAATACCGAAAGATGTTATATAGCGAATCAGTTGAAGGACTCCGCTGTGGTTTGAAGTCCTAACACTACTGACAAAAGCACAAGCAACCATATATATGTATATCGGTAATAAAGTTAGTTCAATGATTGGAAAGCTCTAATTTATTCTTTTGTAACATAATATTTATTATTTTAATAGTTACTAAACCATCAGGATTGACCTTTTACAATTCATAACATATTTTAGTATGTATGATCACTACATCCTGTTTCATATTTCTTAAAATATTCGTCATCTTTAGGTACATGATAAAGTAACTGCAATTATTTTATTTACGAGTAATGCGAAAACTATTATTAGTTAGTTAAACGACCAAAAATACAAAACTTTTATAAAAAATGGTTATATGTATTCCGTTGATTTGATTTTCATAATATAAAGTTAGACAGTATCGTATCGTTAGCATAGTTAACATCGACTAACTTATTTTGTTTCACTTCGTTTGATTGATTAGCACAGTTTACAAGAAGTTGATAAGTTAATTATTATAATGTTTTGTTAATTGTTATACTTATTTTTTTTTATTTATAAAAAAATATATTGATCTGTTCACGAAAACTAATACTAAAATTGAAATATTTTTTAATTTCCGATAAGTATAGCGTTTTTTTTTTATGTAGTAATAATATAGACTTGCTGATAACCTAAGCTGAATCACCAAAAAGTCGGAAACTAATTTGTTTATTTGCAAACCCACTCAAATCAAATGGCAGCCTTTTAGGTTCATAAACGTTTGTTTCACCAGAACGACTGAACATCATTTTTGATATAAAAGGAACGTAATCAGAGTCGTGATTTCAAATTATGGAATAGGGGATTGGTTACCGATAAAACCTATTTGGCTAAACAAAAGGAAAGATTTGATTCCAAAGCAAAATAAATCTATATTATATTCTTCAAGATCTACAAAGCCATTTGAAAACTCGTAGATACCTAAATAAAGCAAACATTTTTCTTGTTATCACCTTAATGTTAAGTAAATAATTTTTCTAAATTTAAATACATATGTGTCATGAAAAGTTTTTATTTATTAAAGTGTCTAAAGTGAACGATATGTTAAGTGAGAGTGTAACCAGAAAAAAAACTCGATAATTTATGCAAACTGTGCAAATACAACAGCCGCTTGGGCTCCGCTCGTGAATTCAGCCAGGTAAATAAACCATGACATTTTTTGTTAAAAATTTATGAAATTCGATTTTCTGATTCTCGTTTCTCGTTCTCACTTAGGTCAAGAAGCATAGGTTGTAATTGTGAGAAGAAGGCGGCTGGCGGTGCTAGGCAGGCAAATTAACCCACACAAACCCGAACACGAGTTTACATTTTTGAGTTGATTTTAATTGCACTTCGTTTTTGTTTTGCAGCCGCCTGCCAGCCAAAGCCAAGAATTCCACATTTACACAACACACACTGCACTGCCACATTCCCAAGTAAAGCTGCCATGAGTTAAGATCAAGATGCGAGTCCAGGATCTGCCGCTTGCCATCGCTTTAATCGGCGCTTGTATGCCGCTAACCGCCGCCTGCTCCTCGCGTGCCATCGCCAAGCCGCGGCCAACAGCTGCTCCGATCCTGCCGCCGGATAATGTAGAGATATCCACGACGCCCAGGCCAAATGTCACCTTTCCGACCTTCGTCTGTCCACCGTCGTTCGATGCGTGGTATTGCCTGAACGATGGCACCTGCTTCACGGTGGTGATCCACAACGAACATCTGTACAATTGCGAGTGTGCCATGGGTTTTATGGGCCCCAGGTGCGAGTTCAAGGAACTAGATGGCTCCTATCTGCCCACCAGGAATCGGGTGATGCTGGAAAAGGCCAGCATTGTGAGCGGAGCCACGCTGGCCCTTCTCTTTATGGCCATGTGCTGTGTGATCTTGTACCTGCGACACGAGAAGCTGCAGAAGCAGAAGCTACACGACAGCAACACGACGACCACCACGGATGGTGGTTGCCAGAACGAGGGAATGGACGAGGTTGATGGCTTGCGACCCCTGCGCCCAGTGAGGCGTCCTTTTGGCCCCTGCCGCATCCTATCCCTGGAGGAGGCCCACCTACAAGCAGCGGCCTCCAACCGCCCCAGGCACTGCAACTAAAACCCACGCTAACTAATAAGCCGAGCCGCAAATTGGTTTTTTTGAATGTCTAACATCTTAAATTTTTAACTGCTTAACGAAACTATTATTTTAACTATTGCCTTGATATGACGAATGCCTTAGCTATAAGTTCCAACTGACGTTTAGACAAGTATTAACGAACGAAAACTGTTTGCTCAGAGAGAGAAAAAAGAAAACTAGAGATAATGCAATGCAATTTCGGCAGTTAGCCACCCATTTATTTATTATACACCTAACTTTATTAAACGACGCGTAAACTATTAACGTTAATAAAAGCGAGAACTAAAAACAAGCTTACTTTCTATTTGGTTATAAAAATGTTTAAGAAATTCAAATTCAAATTCAATATGACTGAATTCAACATTAAAATTAATTTTTATTGGAAATCTATTCAGTTTTTCAGTTGCGAAAAAGGTCGAGCAATTTAGATTGCATGTTTTTCGGTAATGTCAAATTCCTTTACAATTTATTTGGTATGAATTCGTACAAAAATTCAGCATGAATTTCTTTTATTATTACCTATTTTTAATACAAATTTCAGAGTTGCATGAAAAGCAAGCTGATCTGGATAGCTGCCTAAAAACACTAAATAACATGATTAAGGTGAACAAAATGGGAAATCAATATAACTTATATGATCAAATAAAAAATAAATAAGTTAAATAAAAAACAAGAGAGAACGCTATAGTCGGGTGCCCCGACTATCAGATACCCGTTACTCAGGTAAAGGGAGTGCGAGGGAGATGGAGATAGAAACTTTAATCACGCATAACTTTTTAACAAATGGTCCGATTTGAAAAATTTCTTCTCCATTTCGATAGGTATTGATAAACACAATAAAACTGCATTTTTACTTTTCCGAAATATTTAAATTTTTTAAATCGTATATAAGCGATTGTGGGCTTTATAGGGGGCGTGGCACCTTTTTGAAACAAACTTGCGCTGCGTAGGAACTCCTAGAATCTGCATGCAAAATGCCAATCTTCTAGCTTTTATAGTTTCCGAGATCTCAGCGTTCATACGGACAGACAGACGGACAGACGGACATGGCTATATCGACTCGGCTAGTGACCCTGATCAAGAATATATATACTTTACTCTACGAGTAACGGGTATAAAAATTGTACAAATTTCGGCGCTTAAATCTTTTAATCATGTTTTTCTTTAGAGTTCACATTTAGCTGTCAAAAATAGAACTTAGTAATTTTGAACCCTTTTAAGCGCACCATAAACTAATTAATTGCCGTGTTTTTGTTTCTCAATTTCCAGTCATGCCGCACAACAACCAGCCATCGCCCGGGGACGATCAATTGGGACCGCCGAAGGCTGACTTCAGTGCCCCGCCGCCGTACGAGGCGAACGTGGGCCATGGCCAGCAGGTGGCACTGCCGGCCCAGATGCCAACGCTGGCCCTAGCCACACCCGATCCCGGTCAGATGCAGATGCAGATCCCGATCCAGATGCAGGTGCAACTGCCGGGCCAGGCGGATTTGATGACTGCACAACTGCCGCTGGAGATACACGGGAAGCTGCCCACTTACGAGGAGGTGCAGATGGAAAAGTCGCTGAACGGAGAACTGCCGCCCGCCTTTTTGACCCTTCCCTCCTCGCAGCAGCTTCCGCCGCCACCAAATCCGTTGCTGCCGCCAAATCCACTGCGCGACGGTGCCGCTGCCGTGCGATCCGCTCAGCCGGCACTCACGTTCATCGCCATCGATGCCAGCGATCCGGAAAACAGTCTGTCGACCACGGACAACTTGCTCGGCACAGACATAATGTTCATTACGGCCTTCATTGTGGCGTTTCTATTCAACTGGATCGGCTTCCTGATGCTGACCTGTTTCTGTCACACAATCGCCGCCCGATATGGAGCACTGTCCGGATTCGGTCTGTCGCTGGCCAAATGGACGCTGATCGTGAAGCACTCGACGGACCTGGCCTCGCACGAGAACTCCTGGCTTTGGTGGCTTATCTGCGCCTTCGGCTTCCTAATCAGCATACGCGCTTTGATCCAGTACGTGAGCATCAAGCGATCGTGGCGCCTGCTCTCCGCCTCCGCCCAGGAAAGGCTGCTATTTTTCTACTAGGTGCGTCGGGTGGCTTTGAGTGGCTGCCATGTAAATACGTTGTGGGTGGCTAGGAAGCTCGAATCTTACCCGATCCCAACACCCCCAATTCCCCAGAACCGGCATACAAAATCCAAACAAAATCAATGCGAACTTATTTCAGAGAGTTCTCGAAATCTCTAGAGACAATATAAAGAAGCTTGAAAGTATGCCACTAAATGTATTAGTCCAGTTTTATTTCGATTTAAATTGGAGTAATGAGAATGTACAAACTTACACTTTTTTGAACCATTTTTGTTTTAAATAGTTATGCTTTCAATTCAGAGACATTAATTGGATTACTGGCAAGCCCAAAACTGTATTAGGTTTCTAGAAAAGTTTATGTTTTTCGGAGAAACAAATAATGTATTGTATAATTTTAGACACCCAATCCTGGTTGTAAACGGTGCAGCGGCCGGATTGTCCATATCTATATCAAAACCATTTAGATGTATAGCATGGCAATTGTAAAGAAAAGCCGCTGCAACGTTAACAACCAGCTTTAGGCTTTTTTTTAAAACCTCTAGCGATTTCGTAAGCACCCTGAATTGTAGGTCAGTGTTTTCTCTAGTTACTGTGTTAAAAAGCGCAACTTAGTCCACGAAACCGGCAACTGTAGCATAATGACGTTAACTATGTGTGTTGAAAGGTGAGAGGCGGATGCTTCTTCGCCTGCACCTCCAATCGATTATAATTGTAAATGTATGTGAAATGTGTATGGATATATATATCACCCCTTAATGGATCCCCTCCACACCTCTACCAAATCCCTTTAGGCCATTTAGTGGCGCCCATGCACTTGAAACAAAGACACAAAGCAAACCAAAAAAAAAAGGAAAAGAAAAGTTGAATATGAAAGGTCAAAGAGGAAATATGCCACCCATATTATTTTGTTGAGCCTACTTTACGCTGTGGTACTTAATTAATTAACTACACAAAAGCCAGCAGTAATACGAATGCAAACACACACAAAACAACTATTGCTAGTACATATGATTATTGCCTATTATAACGTTTACAATTAATATGTTTAATCCCTTTGTATGTAAATCAAACGATGCATATGCATTGCAGAGGGCGCGGAGTCAAAAGATCTGCGCCAGTTTTATGCAAATTCAATAAAATCGAATGATGTCATTCAAACAACGCGATTTGTTTATAATTTTAATAACAGGGTTCATTTATAAATAAAAACTTGAGCGTTTATTGGGGAAAAAATGGAAGAAAGTCTATCCTTATAAAAACAGTTTAGTGTTTTTTAAAGCTTTTTAAAAAAATACTAACTTTTGGATGTATTTATATGTTTACTTTTGAAAAACTAATGTATAGATTTTTTTTTAAGTTTTTCGAGTCTTAGGAAGTAACTGCAGCTTAAAACAATTCAACATTTAACATGCTTAGGTTTGTTTAAACCAATTCTTCGTTTTAACCACAATAAAGAGTGGACGCATTACTTTTGCTCATATTATCTTAACTTTACTAGAACCAACCTACTAAATTTCTTTGAGGTTTTGCTCTTTAATTCAAATATCGCGGCATTCAGTTATGTAGCAGTTAGCTCTTGACAGTTAGCGGCCACTTGCTCCGCATGTAGTGGAGACACACTCCTCAGATAGCACAGAAGTATTCCGCACATGCGAGTACATTACAAATCGGTCAAACATCGATATCACCGATATTTTGAAAACATCGAAGACACCGACATCGGCATCGACGGCCTTCCATCTCTACCTCTACGTCATTCGATTTTTTTTCGTCGCTCGCATCTGTGTGGAGTTGTGAGGTACTGAGGTATTTTCCCGCAGACGGATATTTTAAGGCAGCAAGACTTGCTAAAGTGATCCAAACTATAGTGCAATAATCCGGTAACTGACTAATCTCCGTTGCAACACGTAAGTTTCCCTATTAATTTACTATTTCCGTACTTCCTTTGTGCTTTGTGCCTGTGTATTGGTGGGGGGCTACGAAAATTTATTGTGTGTGTATCTGTTGGCAAACTTTTTTTTTTCTCGCGTTCCCTGGGCATCTGAAAATAGTAATTATTGATTTTTTGCGGGCTTGTTCGTGTATTTGTGCATAAAGTAATCAGATAATGGGGTAATTGCTTATTTACGAGGCCTTGATTGCTTGTTATCGTGATGGGCTTTGATTAGGAGGGTGTAATATTCGTTAGGGCTGTACATATTTTTCGGGGCTAAACTAAATCATTAGTATAATTTGGTAGTGCGAAAACATGTTTATTTACATATTTTTCGGGGCTAAACTAAATCATTAGTATAATTTGGTAGTGCGAAAACATGTTTATTTATCGTTGGGAAATGGTTTTCCTTTATATTTATCTTTTTCCGCTATCCCTCTCTCTTTTGCACCCACATGGCCGGCCGGCTTTCTGACTCAATCAATTACATATACACACGCACTGTCTAGGGCCGCCATCTTTTTTCCGCGCTACGTGAAAATATATTTTAGGGTTTTTTACCTCGTATTATAGCCCAGAAGCAAAAGGCATTGATGTGTTAGTGTCGCAAAACCAGTTTTAATAGTTATTAATGTAAACTGCTGTCTGTAGCGCCAAAATTGTTCTCATTTCTCTTCCATTTTCCTTTTCTTTCCTTGTGTGTATGTGCAGTGGTGTTGTGTGTATACGCACGCTGGGTTGAATTACGGGTTTTTATGGGGTTCAATAACTACCCGTTGAAAAAGACGATCAGGAGCTTACTAACCAAAAAAAATAATACATCCCCGCTTGCATTTTAACATTTGTTTTGTTTCTTTGTTTGTGTCGTTTTTTTTCAGCTTGTTTTAAGTTAATTGCTCGCTTAAATACAAATCCTACATAACACATCCCATAAACTCTCCCACAAAACCAAAAACCCATCAAAATTATGGTCAGGTATGCTGCACATCCACCCCAAAAAATTGCTTGTTATTTATGTATCTCCTGTTCTCCATTTATAAAAATATATTTTCCCAAAGAATCAAATTATTAAATTATGCATTATTAATAAATGTAATGTATTTTTACTGTAATTCAAATTTCATATTCTATTTCGAAATACTGTGTAAAAAAAGTTTTAAAGATAATTCATTACCAAGTTTTGTATCTTATACAAAACATTTGGGTTTGTTAACACAAACTATGAAATTATAAATTATAAAACAAAAAACAAGAAATTTAAAAAAAATCTTAATCTTCATCTAAAATTGTAGGGTCGGGAAAAGTATAATTTTATTAATGGATCGTTCCAAATATAATTAAACATCGAAAGCGTATTTACAGATTTGCTAAACTATTCATAATTTCTATTTGCAGCGTAAAGGTCAACGGAAATCCACAGAATCGTTTATCAAATAACCAAAAGGTCAACGGCAACATGGCATTCCGTGGTAACCAGAACCGTAATCGCAATTTCGGAGGCGGCAACAACAACTATGGCGGACCCATGAACGCCAACCGCATGGGCGGTATGAATATGTCTCCCTGGGAGTCCCAGAATCCCGGCGGTGGACAATTTGGCAACAACATGCGTCAGGGCGGCGGTCAGATGAACGCCCAGGCCATCAACCTGGCCAGCAATCTGCTGAACAACCTGTTCAGGAACCAGAACCCACCATCGCTCCTGGATTTGCCCCGCGGCGGCGGCGGCATGGGAAATCGCAATCAACGCGGCGGCCCGGTATGTACAAAAGTTCAATTTTTCCCCAACTAGTTGACAATGCCAACCGAAATGAATTGTTCTATATCCTATGTTATAATTATTATTATTGTTATTGGGTATTCGTCTGTATTGCGAATCGGATTTCTGTGGTGGAGATGCAATAGAAAGCAATGAAGGTTCCTTTTAATAAAAAATGTATAGAATCCTAATCTAAATTTGTAATCTTTGAATGAATTTATAATTTTAAAAAGATGTCTGTTTGAATATGGTATTTAAGAAAATAATTCGGGATATGAAAGCGGTATCCCATGATAATATTTGTAGAACTTTAACTACAACTTTCCGTTTGAACATTTTTTAAAAAAAAATAAAAGTTTGCAAATACTTCCTAATTATTTACCGGATGATTTAAATAAAAATGGTTTTAAAAAATACATTAGAATTCTTTTAAACACTCTTAACTTGCACTCCACAACAGAGCCTAATATTTTGTGTTTATTTTCCCTTTAGTTAGATTGTTATATTGCCAAAGTAGCTAATGCTTTTCCTTTAAGAGATAAACAATAATGATCCAAATCCAGAATCTAATCGTAGCTTTTAGTTTACTAAACCAACAACAGAAAAACGAAAACATAACGAAATTAGCCAAAAGAATATTGTAAAAAAAAGTAATGAGAGCTTTGTGCAGTGTAGTAAGGATGTAAGGATGTAAAGGAGGATGGATGTGGTAGACGAAGGTTTTCAGTAAAAAACGCATTTATTCCATTTAAAATGCAATACTTTTTTAGTTCTGTAGAAACTGCACAAACGAAAAAAAACCGATTATTATACTGAAAAAAGAAACGATAAATTTATATAATACACACGCATTGATAACGAAATGTACCTATAAAACCATGTACCGCCAACACTTGTTCCACTTAACGATGAAAAGAGTATGATGATGATCTCTATATGTCAAGATTGAATCATAAGTAATTTATATGCAATAATTTTCTTACTAGATGTACTTAAGCATTTAATTACCTTTTTACCATAATTATAATTCGAATATTATCCGAAAATCCAGTGCCAAGTCAACCAAACTTTTCTTGGCTGGACTCTATTTGCCACAACGCTTTTCTAATTTATCCATTATCTATTTTTATTCTCTCTTCCAAAACAAAAATGCCAAACTCAAATATTCGATGCTTTTCAATACACCTTAAATATCGAATATCGCAACCGCATCGTCTTGCATATTTCGAATGATGCATTCCATATTGTTGTTGCTGCTCCGGCATATGTAATTGCTGCTGTTGTTGTTGCTGCTGTCGTTGTTGTTGTTGTTGTTGTCGTTGTTGCTGTTGCGTGTTGTTGTTGCCGTTGATGCTGCCCCTTCCCATTTGCAATACTTGATTGCAATTAACGAAAATCAAACCCCCACCCTAAAATAAATTCCATTAACGGCCAACAAACAATATTTTCGAAAATCAAAATAAAAATTGAATAATATAAAATGCAACGCACACACACTCAACACACACACACACACACATGCGATGCACACTCAATGTGGCCAATATGCGAATCTCCACCAACGATGCGATACTATATACTATATGATGCTTCCCGTGCGACGCCACTGATCGATTGATTGATTGATTGACTGATTGCTCGATCGATTGATATTGATCGCAATGCAATCTTCTAATCTGCTCTGCTCTGAAACCGAAACTGATCCGATCTGGTACTGGTACTGCTTGATGGTGCAACATAATTACATCCAAACCACAATATGTAATACCTATTAATATCTAATGTCTAATGCAAATTCATCGCCAATTCTTCTTCGACGTTCCTGCCTCTGAAACTCAAAATCCGATTTCCATTTTCAAATGCCACTCGCCGCCACACGCCAACGAATATATATATATAAATGCAATATATATCCAACTATCCCCGTCGACTGATTGGCCGCCGCAATCGCCCCGTCGATCTGACCAAAATCAATATACAATGTGCTCCATGTGTCACAATATATTTATATATATTTAACTATATATCAACGTTTGCCATACATCTCTGTAACGAATTTTCCCCTGCAATTATCAATTATCTGTTCAATTTGATCGCTTCGCCCCTCACAAAACATTGTAAATGGCCGAACCGCCATATTGTCTCTGATCTTTCGAAAATGCTCTACAAATATCTGCCTCTGTTTGTAAATCAAAACAAAATCAATTCACATATGCCCCATGTGTGCATTCGGAATTGTGCAAAAATGTTATTGTTAATCCTAAATGATAAACTAAACAATATAGATGGTCAGTCGCGGCGGCGGTGCCGGCAATCGTCTCAATAACCGTCGTGGCCAGGGAGGTGGCTTCCAAAATCGTGGCGCCACTGGTAGTGGACCCAAGCCCCCGCAAAAGCAGGGCGGCGGCGGTATTCGCAAGCAAAATGCTTTTGATCGTGCCAAGAAACTTTTGGCTAAAAATGCCAACCAAAATAAAAAGAAGGAACCCACTCCTGGCGAAAAGAAAATCGAGAGGTAAGACTTACTACAACTTTTCCAAACAAACCAAAACCACAACAAAAAAGAATACATTTTTTTGCTGCCCACCAAAACGAAAGGATTCTATTTCTTTCACTAAAAAAAAATAAGAATCGAACTCTGCAGCGCAAATATATAATTTAAAACGTTTTACTTAAGTACATAGGCATTCCAATTCTCTAATTGCGTTTCCTCATACATCTCTAAAAAATATATTTAATTAGAATTAGATGTTCATTAGGGATAGTGCCTTTTTTGATGCTGTTAATGTTACTGTGTGTATGTGGGTGGGACCACGCCTATTTGGGTAGGGTAATGTGAATCTATAGTTCAATGTATTAAAACTACATTTACGCAAACCTATAATATTTTCATAAATTTCATTTAATTTTAAAACAATTAGATATCAAAATGTTTTTAAAATGTAAGTTTGGGCTTACCATTTTTTGCGTTTTGTGTACATTTGTATCTTATTGTTGGAAGTTAAAAAGGAGAGAATTAATAAGCAATAATCTTTTTTCCTTATAACTTTTCCATAATTATTTTTAATAGTTTCCTGAAGTCTGTAATTTGTTAATTGTTTTACAAGTTATTGGTTCTCTCCTTTTTGATTTCGAAAAGCATAAATATTTATCCATTCATGTTTTATATGGATGAATCTTTGACCATAAAATTAAGATTTCATAATAGAAAGAAATATGCTGTAAGTATCATAAAAGGACGTAAATATATTGCTTTAATAATTAAGAATAGGCTTCAATTCGAGACTACCTTTGTCACTAGTAAAAATTTATGGCATATTTCTATCTTGTAAAGCATTCATACTTACATTCATAACGCATCAAAATCATAGCTAAGACATTCACTCACCTATCGCCATCTGTACTGTACGTATCATAAGTATAAATTGCAGCGAGAACCACTCTCTACCCCTCTAATATTGTATTCTCTTCCTTAGAGCAAGACCAGACGCCACCCCGTCTTCGCATTCAATATTTCACAACTAATGGTTCTTCCTTTCTTTATTCCTTTCCCCATATCAAATGATCTCTGATCGAATTCTATAGCCCCACCAAGGAGTCGCCGTACGCTAGTGTGCCGAACGACATGTTCTACTGTCATCTGTGCAAGAAGCACATGTGGGACGCCAACTCGTTCGAGAACCACATCAAGGGCCGCACTCATCTTATGATGCGCGAGGGCATTGAGGAGAGCTATCGCCTCAAGGCCAACATGATCCGCCAGGAGGCCAAGATTGCCGAGCAGCTCAAGTCGATCGAGTTCGACCGCCTGAAGCGCATGGGCAAGAGCAAGCAACGCCAGTTGGACTACTGCACCATGTGTGACCTTAACTTCCATGGCCACATCTCGACCCATCGCAAGTCGGAGGGCCATTTGCAGCTGAAGAAGTTCCTGCATCCCAAGTGCATTGAGTGCAACAAGGAGTTCGCCACTCGCATCGACTACGACACTCATCTTCTGTCCGCCGAGCATCTGAAGAAGGCCGCCGAGAGCAACACCAAGGTGGGTGAGCGCAAGCGCCAGACCTTGCCCATCAGCACTGAAGAGGAGGAGACCCGTGATCTCCGCCTGCCCCAGAAGCGCAAGAAGAAGCCGGTGAAGAAGGAGGGCGAGGCCGCCGATGGCGAGGCCAAGAAGGAGGGTGCCGGCGACGGTGAGGCTGCTGAGGGCGAGGAAGCCGAGGGCGATGAGGCTAAGGAGGGTGAAGAGGCCGCCGACGAGACCAAGGAGGGCGAGGAGCTCAACGAGAGCCAGGAGGAGGAGGAGGTGGCCCTGCCTGTGGATCCCGAGGACTGCATCCTCGACTTCACCGACGGTGACGAGATCCCCAGCGAGGTGGACACCCGCCTGCCCAAGTACAACTGGCAGCGGGCTGTCGGCCCCGGCCTGATCTCCAAGCTGGAGTGCTACGAGTGCTCGGTGTGCAGCAAGTTCTTCGACACCGAGGTGACCGCCGAGATTCACTCGCGCACGGCCACCCATCACCGCAACTTCCTGAAGTTCATCAACGAGAAGTCGAGCGACACCAAGATCGCCCAGAAGCGTGCTGCCGCCGCTCTGGAGGAGAACGAGCGCAAGAAGCGCAAGGTGGAGGAGACGGAGACCCCGGTCGCTGAGAATGCCGGCGCTGAGGAAGTGGCTGAGGGAGCCGAGGGTGAGCTGTACGATCCTTCGGAGGCCACCGGCGACGACGACGATGTGGAGATGGTAGAGGACAATGCCGAGGGCGAAGGCGAGGTCGAGGGAGAAGGCGAAGGCGACGAGGAGATCGAGGGTGAGGGCGAGGATGATGGCACTGGCCAGGACAATGGCGAGGAGGAGATGGAGGCCCAGGACGAGGAGCAGGAGGCCGAGCCAGAGCCCGAACCGGAGCCAGCACCGGCCAAGGCCGAACCAGCTCCCGTGGCCAAGACGCCAGTGAAGGCCGCCGCCAAGCCAGCCGCTGCTGCCACGCCCGCTGCCGCCCCATCGACGCCAGATGCTTCGCCATCCCCGGCCAAGAAGGCAACGCCCGCTCGGGCCGCCGCCGGACCGAAGGCCACGCCGCAGCGCCAACGCGCCCGCGGCCGCTACAACCGCTACTAAGTAGACGTCGGAGGAGTTCGTAGTTTAACATAACGTACACTTTAACTCTATACAAGAATAATAAAATATACATTCACGCCCAGGAGGAGGATGAAGAACAGATCAAATCGATCTCTTCCCGCAATTTGACATTTGCATCCCAATTTGCATATACACTGAATGAATGGAAACCGAGAAGACGAGCAACATTACGTTGAAACAGTTGAAAACATTGTAACTGTCGAGAAAACTGATGATACTGTGACGAGGGAGAATACAAACAACTTGATTGAATCGATTTCCATATGAACTATACCCAAATTCCCCTTCCCAGCCCTGCATACCATACCAGCCAACCAATCATTCAGCTTATGTAATCATAAAAATTTTAAAATAAACAAAGAAACAAAAGTAGTTGTAAAACAAATACGATTCCTGTTTGTATTGATCGAGGGAAATGGAAATTTGCCTTAAAGCTGTGGGCAATGAGATGCAGCAGCAACTTCCTGGAGGTTGCGGGATTTAAGTATATAGATCAGCTAGGAAATGGAACTATCCACTGCTTAATGGATTCTAGTGACCTACCATTTGATTTAATCTCTTCGCTAAAAGTCTGTCTATCCTAAAAATTAAAACCTACCTTTTTAAGAGTTCCAACCATTGCGATAGTTTTGTTTTACCTCTATTGACTATTAAAACATTTAGTTTGCGTAGAATCAGATGCTAATCGTTCCTATGATATATATTTATTTATGTTAAAGTATGTGATTTGATCAAAAGTTTTAACTATTGAATTATTGATATCCCGAACACCAAAACTCCAAATAAATTTCCATAGACTCTTTGATTCACTTTCACACAGATGCGGTATATTTGATGCTACCAATCGCGTAACGATTCTGAGATTATGTGAGTTGAGCATATAAGGAACGCCTTGATATGGTGTGATACAAATAGGGTATATTATATACAGCTTACGAGACTAGGATGCTACTGTTCGACTGTCTGGAGGGAGGCAGAGCGGATAGATGAGTGGGACCCCGCAGAGCAGGGGTTAAGTACTTGGGTGCCTGTTGAGGATCCAGCGGTATCAGTTGAAGTCCAGAGTATTCGCCTCCGTCATCGTGGTGCGCATGCGGCTCTGATCGCTTTGGGATCGACGGAGTCCGCCCGGGCGCCATCCGCTCCTCCAGCGCTTGATGCAGCCCAGCAACGACCAGTTGATCGACTTGGAGCGACTCAGCACGTAGACGTACGGATCTGAGGTAAAGTGCAGAGCCGTGAGCACGTCGGCGATGATGAAGAATTTATTCGAGGCGGGCACCCGGTCTGGGGCAATGGCCAACGGGATTGCGATCTTCAAAAGAAATTTGAAAACAATTTTAAAAGGAAAAAGAATGATATACTCGAGTGCTACAACACTATACATTCGCCTTTCAATTCATACAAAATGATCACATTCCGTAAAAATGTGCGATTGATATCAAATTTGGTATATGGGTGCAACGTAAAATGAAAAATTCTTTGTCTTTCAAGCTGATCATGATTGTGTAAAATTAATTGGACCGGAAATGCTTTCTTGTCCCTGTTTTACACTTTGGCATAAAAGGAAATCGAGGCCATATTATTTTTATAATCTGAGATCATATAACTACACATTTTTAGCTTTATGAATATAACAAAAATTTAAAAATAACGTTTTTGAATATTACATATACGAAAATTTTTAGTCTACATCATAATCAAGAAAATAATAACATAAGAAAACAATTAATAAAAGTGATCTCGATTTTAAATGTTCGATGGTGGGCAGTTCAATTTTTTGAAAATAGGAATTGGTTATAATCAAGAAAATAATAACAAAAGAATAGCCCAAAATAAAAATACATATCTTAAAAGAATAAAAGTTAAGCAGTTTGAAATTGTTCAATTGTAAGCAGTTCTATTTTTTTAAAGTAGGAATTTATTATTTATTTTGAATAAAAACTAAAACAAGAGAGAACGCTATAGTCGAGTGCCTCGACTATTAGATACCCGTTACTCAGCTAAACAACTTAATATAAGATTAAGTATTAAATAGTATTATGTATATTAAAGTCTAAATGTTTGCACAACACGAGTAACGGTAATAGCGAATAGCTTTCTTTGAAAGGAGTTATTGTTGCCGGGCAACAATGTACAATGTACAATACATACATATGTATATGCTTACATACATACACACATACGCCATTGTTTGACTCAGACCTCCAATTTGGCTACCTAGATTTGATTTGCATAGTTCTTGGGATATAGTTCGGTATTGACAAATGATTTATAAATATAAATCCTTATCGAGAATTAACGTTGACTCTGTTGAGCACCTTGCCAGCTGTTCCAAAGTCATCCGTTAGATGGCGCCATGAAAGGCGGAAATGTAGGCGCTAGCCAGGCTTAAGCGTTTAATGGGTTTTTGGGCGTTAGAGTGGGCGTGGCAAACTTTTATTAGCCCAATCGATAGGTATTGACGAAACAAATACATATCAATTAAAATTTTCATAATAGCATCAAAACTGTGGCCACAGCTTGTGGCTTGTGGGCGTCAGAGGGGGCGTGGCACCATTTTGAAACAAACTTGCGCTGCGTAGGAACTCCTAAAATCTACATGCAAAATGCCAATCTTCTAGCTTTTATAGTTTCCGAGATCTCAGCGTTCATACGGACGGACAGACAGACGGACAGACAGACGGACAGACGGACATGGCTAGATCGACTCGGCTAGTGATCCTGAACAAGAATATATATACTTTATAGGGTCGGAAACGCTTCCTTCTACCTGTTACATACTTTTGCACGAATACAATATACCCTTTTACTCTACGAGTAACGGGTATAATGAAACAGAGTTAATTTTATTAAGATATGTTTAGATATTTCTTATTTGGAAGTAGAAAAGTGAGTATTTTTTCCCAGGACTTACCATCTGTGGCATCCAGCAGATGACAAAAGAGATGCTAAGGAAGGCCATCAACTTGGCGAACTTGATCTCCACCGGGGAGGAGTCCGTGGCCGCCATTGTGACACTGACGCTGTGCCGGAACTGCCTCGCGGGCTGGGCACTGCGATGGCTACCTCCGCTTCCGGAACTGAGCTGTGTCTGGTAGAGGGTGGTGCCACTGCTACTCTCCGGATCGATACTTATCGTACTGGCCTTATCTCTGACCAGGTCGTAGTGCATGTGCCGCTTGGCCGTTCGACTCCTACCAATCACACAGAGCAACGTGTGGGCCACAAACAGGTTGCACGCCACTATCACGATGCATAACAAGGTACCTAAATTAAATCGATTACCAAATTAGTTTGGCTATATGACTGTCAACTTGTAGGACATTACCAAAGACCATAAAGAGCACCGCATACGACTTGTTCCACACTCCCTCCGCATCGCGATATCGTATGCACTTTAGCTTATCCGGATCCGATTCATCGATGTAGGCGCCAAACCCAACAAATGGCAGGAACGTGATGATCACGGCCACAATCAGTATGCTATTAATGCTCTTGCGAATCAGCTCGTAGGTGATGTGCTTTTGGGCGAGATTTATAACCATTAGATGAATGATTTGTAAGGCTTGGCATTTCCTGTTCACTTTGTTTTATTCAAATAAAGAATTGCACTTTACTACGTAGAAAAATTGTATTAGGAACAGGTTTTTGAACTTAATTGTAGTGCAATTGTCAAAAATATGTCAAAAAATCCATGTAATAACATCGAATACTTTTGTCCCATTAAACGAAAATTCTACAAAAATTACTGACCGAAATTTCTTTCTGTAGTGCTTTTAAAATGTGTTTTCTATTTTTATAATAATACTTGGAAAGTAAAAATAGTACCTTGTGATAAATGAAGGGTCTTGCCAGGGCCATCCACCTCTCCGCTGCCATGACCGCTGCAATGCACCCGGAACTCAGGCCAAAGAACCTCCACACCACATGACCCACACAGTCCAGTCGAACGAAGGACTGCAGGACCTCCTGCGAAAGGTAGATTTTCAGCAGCGTTGTGGTCAGCATTCCCAGCAAAGCTACTAGATTGTTAGTGGCAAGGCATCTGAAATTGTTGAACGTTCCCATAAATTAAAGATGCCTTAGCTTTATGATATTTCTAGACTCGTAAATGGGATAATAAAAGTTATTCAGGCCATTAGCGCTAATTTACTCCAAACCATTGAGTTCTAGCGTACACAAACCATCTATTATTTGATAAAAAGGAACAATAAACTATAATAACGAAGTGTTTTTAATTAATTGACACTTTGATAAGGCGAAACTTTCAAACAATACCTTAAAGCTGCCCCATATGGTTGCACACGACGTGACTCGAACTTTAATCACTTTTAAGCGAACACCGCCAAATATAATTGTATAATTTTTTTTGTATTAAATAATAATAAATACAAGAATATAAATGGTTTGGCCATAAGGGAAGTTTCGATGCCGTAAAATATGCTTATAAATGTTCTTTTGTAATTCATTAATAATCTGAACTAATCTACCCATTACGTAGTATCCACTCTGTAAAATACGTGGCTGTCAATAGTGAGTTTGATTAAGTATTTCCTTTTTGTTTGAATCATAAAATATTGGATTTGTGTTTTTATTTGGAGCGCAGTTGTCACAGGAAACTCATTTGTCTCCGGGTGAGAAAAAAATATATAGAAGTAGGGCCTTCTCAATGGAAATGAATGAAAACGATTGCTTGAAATAGAATGTAAAATGGGATGACAATTCCCTTGAGCTCAAGGGTGGGGCGAAAGGCTCGGCTAATCGTTATGTATGGCTATGACTTTATTTATTTTTATTATTTGCATGTATACCTTATACCTGTTTTTAGCACAAAAACTATTAAAAATTCAATTTATGGTGCATTGTAAAAGTTTCACTGAAAGCAAAAGCTCCGAAATAGTTCATTAAAGGCTAAAAATGACTAAATTTTCGATTCGGAATGAAAATTGCAAAATTGTGTTGTTGACTTGCAATAGCAAACTCATTGTTTGTTTATTTTTGCAATGGGGAAATACATATTTCCATAGCCATTCCGGTTCTCTTACTGAAGCGAAAAAACAATAAGGGTGCCTGTGATGTCATTGGGTTACTCTGATTTATCGACACTCCTCGAGTGCCAATCACCGGGCTCGTTCAATCAATCAAATTACAGATCAAAGGCTCTGCCAAAAGGAGGGCTCATGTTTGGAGGGGAATTCGCCTTAATTTTTGCTCCCTCGATGGCTCAAATTGCTGCCGACAGCAATTTGCGCATATTACGCATACGCACTGTCGTCTCAGCACAAAATAAAGGGACAGGAAATAAAGGTCACTGAATTTGCCAGGGGCCCAACACTGATAAATGAAATATAAATTGTGACAAATTTTTGGCATATGAGCTAAGATAATTTTGTTGTGTGTCATAAAAAAGCTCTTCTTACATGATAAGGTTTAACGTAATATATGTAAGTACACATTCTTTCCAAATGTTTACGTTCATTTCTATTTTTAATTTTATCATATAATGACAAAAATGACTTGTACAGAACATAGCTTATTTTAAGAAAGTAAGTCATAGGTTGTGGGAACCATTAATGGGAAATTTTAAATGTTTTTAATAATAGGGTTTTACTTATTTTATTTCTATTGAAACAAGGCACTAAGTAAAAAACGGTTTTGAATGAATGAGAAACTGACGTTTGTTTATTCTGTGTTTTTAGTTAGTTAATAATTTAAGTATTAAAAGATTGAAAAGAGGTAATAAAAAAATGTTAAATCTTTACTACTTAAGCTCTAATGTCTGTCTTCAGTTTACACCGTAAAGCTTTTAATGCATTCGCAATTGGTGCATTCCCACGTTGCTGATAAGATTGTCAAAAGCAGACTGGAATATGGTTAAATCTCACTCCCAAAACACATGGCCAATGAACCAATTCCGCAATTTGATAAGATATGCAAGAAACCAAAAACAAAGCCCGAGCTAAACACAACAATTCAAACTATGCAAATCAGGCCCGCATAGGCATATTATCGAACACTATAGTGGCCGCGGTTGAGAGCAGGTTGAATAAACTTACATAGCCATGAACTGGCCACAAACAGTCACAAACATTAAGTGCATAAAATGAGTAGCTACACGCAAAGAAAATATTCTACTGGTTTTTGACTTCAAGATTTTGTGCATTTTAATTTTTGGCAGATATTTTTACCACATTAAATATTTTGAAAATACATTAATGTATTTTAGATGTATGTTTATTGCCATGTGTTAAGCCTATTTGCAATATTTGAATATTGAAATGCTCATTATTTAAAAAACATTCACTGTAATTTTTCGAGATAACAAATAAGTCATTGAAGTCACTGAATTAAAATTATGATTTCATTTACATTTTTATATAAAGGTTCTTACAAATATTTTAATTACTCTAGGCCTCTTTATATTATTATTTAAAACATTTAAAAAGCGCATATTTCAAACACATTTTTTTTTATGGCAAATTTTAAAATTTGAATGGCCTTACTAACGGCATAATAATTAAATTTACAAATATTTATGTTGTTATATATTTTTCAGACTTTTATTTTTGTATACAGTCATGGAAAAAATAATAGAAACGACAATTTTTTTTCGTATTTTTCAAACTTTTCTTCAGTCAATTTTTTTTTTTTTAAGTTTAATAATTTTGATTGATAGTCGATTCAATTATGTGTCAAAATATACCAAAACAATAATTGGATAGAGGAAAAAATGTGTGCCATTCACTACGTAGACTTACTCGACAGCATAATGCTACGTTATGCTGAAGAGGAAATGCCAATTGAATGGAAGTTTCAGAAGGATAATGACCCGAACCATTCTTCACAGCTGGCCAAGAAATGGTTTGTAGACAACGAAGTTCCCTTGATGGAATAGCCTTCGCAGTCCCAGACTTAAATCCTATAGAGCACCTTTGGGGGATAATAAAGAAGAGGCTTGGTGGGTTTAAGTCCAAAACTAGGGAAGATTTGTGGAAGAAAGTAAATTCTGAGTGGTACTCCATTGAACCATCAATTTGTGCCAATTTGGTGGATTCAATGGGACACCGCTGAACCAAAGTCATTAAAAATAGCGGTGGCACAACTATATATTAAAGTTACCATCTAAACTAATAGGCTTTGAAGCTACAAAACTGTTTTTCATAGAATTAACTCAGTCGTTTCTATTATTTTTTCCAGGCCTAATAATTTTAAAAATTATTTTTTAGTTCATAACGTTTTTTGAAAATTATTGTTTTGGTATATTTTGACACATAATTGAATCGACTATAAATCAAAATTATTAAACTTAAAAAAAAAAAAAATTGACTGAAGAAAAGTTTGAAAAATACGAAAAAAAATTGTCGTTTCTATTATTTTTTCCATGACTGTATGTGATATTAAATATTTATTTTAAAGTCGTTTCTCAATGGAGAATTGCACTTACCGCAACATGAGCGTGTATTTGCTGTTTTTGTTGTGCTTTTTGCGCGCCAAAATAAAGAGGGCCAGGGAATTGCCTAAAACGCCCAAAACCATGACAATGGCCCCAAAGATCAAACGATTCCGATTTGCATAGAGGGCCTTTGGAATGGTCGCAGAAGTTGCATTTCCCAGCATCAACAGGCTTAATGCTGGTGTCGTGGATTCCATGTTGCCGGTGTGATAATTACACTTGATTTCAATTCAGGTGAAAATCTAACTGACTGCAAACGATTTTTCTTTTTCACAAATGAGCCGACCGCAAAAACATAGTCACTGGCACATGCAGTAGATGGAAACCCGTTTCGATAGCCAAATTGGAATTATTTTCTTAAGACACTTAATTAATGATTAGAGCGGTCGACACTTGATTAAACCAAACCGACTAAACCGAATGAACCGATACGATGGCGATTCGATCCGAGGAGCGCGTCTGCAGTCAGCCAGGCGTCGATTTAGAATGACTAGAGCGCCGAGCGGCGCATTCGTCGGCTGCTGCCTTTGGCTCCAAGCTATATAAGTGGGAGGTTGGGCAGATCGGATCGGAGTGGGGTTTTTTTTTAGGGGCATTGGTTCCTTGCTCAACAGTTGGCAAACATTCGGCCTCGGCTCTGGATCGGTAGGCGGCTCGTGTTGGCGCTTCGGCTGGCTCTGTTGGTGGTCATATCGGATACATCATATGGCATATAGACACCCCAAAGTACACCACCCGACCCCACCCCCAAAACACCCACTGGCAAACTACCCTATCGAAAATGCACAGCTCGTGCCAGCGCCTTTGGACGTGTGCGAACGTCAAAATAGCACGACAAATTTTATTGTTTTATACCCTATCAAATTTCCGTTCCCATAGAATATCAATATCAATTCGTTGTATCATTACATTATTAATGTGATTTAAAAAAATTAATTTCTCTTACTTTATTGTTTTTATTTTTAAAACTGGAAAAATATGAAATTATTTTGGAATTTAATTTTTGGATATACGAACATATTTATATAATAATTCTGGCTGTGAAGAAATACACACTTCAAGTCTCAACTCTGACATAAACAAATATATACATTTTGTTGAAAAAAAATATTAAATCATATTTTATTATGGATATGAATGGTGAAATAATGATAGCAAATATTTAATATTTACATTATAATTTTAAATGGTTTTTATTCATGATTCTTATGACTCATATATCCATAATGTAATGGATATGAATGTTGAAATAATAATAAAAAATATTTAATATTGACATCATAATTTAAAAGGTTTTTTTCTGAGATTCTTATGACTCGTTTAACTATACTCACAAATTTGGTTTATATTTAAGCAAATTAATGTCATTCACAATAAGTTGACTAATGCAGTCTTTATTTTATTCTTATCTTGTCAATATAAGTTGTTTGTTCCAGTTTGCCGGAAGTTGGCTTTTCTAATAAAAGTGTTTATTGGTTTATTAAACCTTAGTTCGTATAAATAAAATCGCAAGATACTTTAGCTATATAGAAATTTAAAATGTAATTTGTTTAATTTTTTGTGGTTTTAACGTGAAAATTGTCTGTATTTGTTTCATTCATATGTTGTAATCGTTTAATATAAAAATAAACACTTTTATAATTTTGTCAAGGACAAATAAAATAAAATTGAAAATTTCGTCTGATACTTAAACTGGTTTTAAACAATTAGTTAGTTTTAAAGTAATAAAAGAAAGAGCAATTAAGTAAGAGTACTATGAATTGAGTTTTCAGAGTTGGCTTGCCAGGCGTTCTAATGAAACTTAACAATTAAGATTTTGGAAATTTAATTTTTTTTTGGTTTTGACTAGTAGTTGCAATAGAAATTGCAAAAGAAAATTCTTCAAAGAAATTTAAGAAACAAATCTATAAGAAGAATTCGATTAAAATTTCATTAAATATTTTTTTTTTGTAAAAGTCAATATTTAAATTAAAAGCCTCGCATACTTGCATTTTAAGTGGGAAATTAGGCATTCGGCGATACAAAGCGGAAGCCGCCAATCGGAATGTGATGATCCATTTTGGGTTGTTTGAATGGTAGGAAATGGGTGGGTGGTCTTTGTAATGGCGACAACGGGGCGTATGAGGAGCTGGAAATAAAATGATACTTCTACAGCTGGATGAAATTAACGAGCCTGCGGCTCCGGGAGGCTGCTGTCGTCCTTGTGGTGCGAAATTGCGGTTCAAGTATCATCCCACTGCCTTCTGCAGACGTCATGCGGTTGTACTATTTTTAGTTAATTCCCCCGAAAGGCAACAAAACACAAAATGTGAATGCTGCCCTAGAATTGGGTGTCCCTTGATATCCTCGTTAAGCGTCACCAGAATTGGTTTGGTGTCTATTAATTGTACGCCTCGAAATTGGATGCCCAAAGCAACGTCGACAGCGGCCCATATATTTTGTCCTCCTCTGCGTGGGGTGGATTGGATGGCTGGGACAAATAAAAATTGCTTTTTGGTGGCTCAAGGGTTGACTGACCTCTGACCCTCTTTTGCGCGTTTTTGCAAAATTAAATGAATAAATAATAACGCACTATTTGCACTTATTCAGTAAGCGCTCCTCAGTCATAAAGCGGCTGATTAATGGGGCAGGATTCTGGACACTGAGGTATGAGGTCATGACAGGGTGCTCGTCTCATGACTCCGATTAAATGGTATTTTGCAGTTTTGTTTTGATAAATTTGCTTCGAACTGTCTACCACGGGGTTCTTGTAAGCCTCGGAAATTGTGTTTAATCTTTCAGTACACCTAAGGTTGTAAAAGAGCCTCTGGCATACTTTGGTAAACTTATATGTTTGTGTACTTATAACGTAAACAACACATCAAAATAAACAGCACATATAACCTGACGAAGATTTATTATAGAATTTTAATTGCTCTATATTATTATTATGTGCCTAGTCTTTTAAAGTTTATTGTGATTTTTTTATAAGAATGGTCGTTAAATTATCTTTTGTGTGAAAATAATTTACAATACTAACCTGCAAAATGTAATAATAAAATAAATGAAATTACAAATTCCTGAAATCTATACGAATGTGGGAATATTTCTGTTTTTTTGGTTTCTTTTAAGTTCTGGAAAAGATTTCAAAATAAGAACTCTAACAATCATAAGAGTATTTTCGATTCAAGTAGTAAGTCCCTTGGAAATTGCACTCCCTTAGCGCGTGAACTTCCGTTTATGACTCACTCTTTCAGTGCCATTACTGAACTCATGGCCGAATTGCAATTTAACGACATGAAATTGAAAGACCTTGAAACTGCATTAGGTTCCTATAAATTGGATAGGCTGTCCCTGATATCTCCCGCATTTCTTGAAGGTTAAAGCAAATGTTAACATAACTGCTGGATATTGAATATAATGGTTCTAACTATTAAAACACAATTGAATGAATGTACTTCTTGACTTGAACCACCAGTGAGTCAATTCTGTATACTAAATATTATATTAAATGGCCGCTGAACTGCTAAGATCGAAGATTATTGGCTGTCAGTGTGCCAGCGAAATTTACAATTACTTGCATTTAGCATAACAAACAAACCAGCATTCAATGGATTGATGATACTTGATCGGAGGAGAATCGAGACTTCTCTCCGGGAATGTTTATGGGAGACAGGCGCATACCAAAAAATAGCTCTCCGCATCGCCAGCAGAATATTAAATCGAAGATGGCTGGCGAACAATTAATAGAGTTGCCGGTGTCCGGAATTAAGGGGAATTGATATTTCAAACACGCAAAACGCAGATTGGGCGACGCGTGCAAGTCCAAAAGCCGATCGAAAATGTCTAAAGCCGAAGATTCGGATGGCAGACAACAAAACAACAGATATCAAAAGGCTGTGTTGAAAGAAAACAATGCAAATTAAGACTTAAATCGAATGCGACACAAATGCATGGTAAATGTTTTGTTCTTTGGGCCTCGCGGCTTGAGGTATATATGCATGTATATATATATTTATTCATGTGTGTTTACTATACTATGTATATCAAGATATATTCGTTTATAGCGTTTTATGCACAGTTTTCTCTTTAGTTGTGACACAGGATTAGTTTTAGAGTACAAAGTTATTTATAATATTTAGGAAACTTTCGTCTTCTGTTACATTCAGTATTCTATATTGCACTATTTAAAGCTCAAGCTGATAGCCCCTTTGCCACTGCCAGCTGAGTCAACTACTTAGTAATAAACATTTAAAAAATAAACTTTCGTGTGCCAAGTAAATTACTTGGACATTATAAACAATTCACTAGCTCATCCTCCCACTCGCCATCACCATTACCCACACACAATTGGCTGCATTGTATGTGCGTATTTGTTTGGCGTACAATCACAGCAGTCGAAATTACATACAAAAGATATGATAAACTAAACAGGAAATCAAACTAAATTTGGCGTAGTTGCTTCATCTTGGTTGTAGCTGCCCTTAGATGCGACTGCAGAAATTATAGAGCAGCAGTTTATCCTCGAAGTGATAAACGTTGTTGATGTGTCGCAAAACCCTGCCATCGACCAGATGCCGAGCGTAATGCACAGCCTCCATGCGGTCCTTCGACAGACCCACCTCGATAAGCCAGCTGACGAACTCGGTGCCGTAGAACACCTTGCGATACACTCGAATGCGCCACCTGTAAAAATTAAGTAAGTTCTTTAGTAAATAATAACAAAATCAGCTAGTTATACTGGTCTAATTATGAGTATTACAAATATATACAGAGACAAAGTAAAGCTGCTGAATAATTCATAAATAAATTAACTCAAAGTACTTACATAGTTTGGTTGAAATTAAAAATTATTGTCATCCAAAAAACTATTCCTATTGCTGCTTAATATTCTAAGGCAGGGTTTAAATTAGAATAGGCTTAAAAAATAAACAGTATTTATAAAGGGAACTGAACAAAACAACTTTCTACAAGATTCCCTATATATTCAATTTAAGTCTTGATTTTGCCTACCTTCTGTCCTTGGCAATATCCTTTTTGCAATTTTCCAAGTGATGATTGCGGAACTGTTCACAAATATGTTTGGTTTCGGGTCGTACGTTTGACCAGTGGGGTAGACTAACCACATTGGCTCCATACCTTTAAAGTAAATATACATTAAATAAACAAAATATGTATAATAACTTCCAACTCACCATAATTTGCGCCAAAGTTTTACAACCGGCATTAGAAGATCGCCCATGTCGGTTATGAACACGGCCAACACAATCAAACCTTGACCAAAGTTGAGAAAAGCGTCGAGGAAACTTAGTTCCAGATATATGCCCGACATTCCCTCCATCACCAGGGTCCAAATGGACACCGCCAGACCAACAAACATGGAGCACAGCAGGGTGATCAAGAGGACGGTGTGCTTCAATGTTTGGTGTTCATCAGTGTCGCTTGGGTGTTCCAGGGGCTCGAGTCCCCGCCTATTTTGATCCTCATAGCGCTCGATAATTGTCTGACAACTTTGGCGCGAGGTACTCGGTCCGCAGTTGAAGGAGCTGCTGCACATTTGATTCCGTATTCTGGATAAACATATATTCTCATTATTAGTCTACCAAAAAGTACCACTTAAAACTTACTCTTCTGTAGCAGGTGCACTCTCGATCTTGTCCACATCTTTATTGTTAACACCACTGGCGCGTTGACGTGTGCGATTCAACAGATCCTCGATGTCCACAACCACAGTGCTGGTTGTTGAGGGAGTGGTTACTGGCGCTCCTTCCGAGCAGCAAGTTCCACTGCCAGAGCCACAACCTCCTCCTCCAGCTGACCCTGGTCTACCACTGACATTACCACTCCTCCTGCTTGCCGGCAGACCCACAGCCGTTGGTATCATTTCATCATCGTCGGAAGAGGACGAATAGGATGCCGTGCGAACACTCTGCCGGATGGACGAACGATCCGTTTGACTCAGCAAATTGGTGGTGGATATTGTAGAGTGCAGATCAGATGATTCTGTAACAAGGTAAACATTAAAAGTTATTCAATTCATTGGGATTTCAGGCACCTACCCGACTCCGGATTGGATAACTCACGTGAATAGGTCATGTACTTTTCGAAGCGTTTCTTATAACGCTGATGCAGGACTAAGCATCCAACAGTGACTGAAAATTAAATTGAAAAAATAGGATATAAGTCTTAATCTTTATGAAACACGTTAATAAAATCCTTGTCAAAGATTATATCAGATTGAAAACTTTTCACGCATCATTGTATAACCTGTAAGAAATTTATCTGTGATTCAGGGTATAATAAATTTAACCGAACCTGAATCAAAGGTCTAACAGGTCATTATTAACTCTTCAAATGCATATAGAAATTTCATCATTATTTGTTAATAAATGTAGTTTATAATTATTTCTGGCATACCTATGAAGCACATTACGAGCATGAATACTGAGATGGCTGCCTGAGCATTGCCGTACTGGAAGCTGGGATTATGTTTCTCTCCCGACATCACATTCGAGTCGAAGGCAACCAAGAGCCCCGATATAACGGCCGGTACACCCCAGGCAAACACCAACTTAAGCAGAGAAATTAAAAGTTAAAGCACGAATTACTATTATAATTAACATTAATAGTTACCATATAGGGCCATAGTTTTAGCACAAAACATAAGCTCCGACACTGGAGGAAGAGCAAGGAAATGGCCAAAAAACCTGTCCACAGACGAGTGCTGTAGGTGCCAATATTGAAGAGGAAAAACTGCAGGTACAAGGGCCAACGGTGCACGTGCTCCATCTTAGACCAGAGGATTACTCCAATGCAGCACATAAGCTGTAAAGTATGCGGGTTATAAAACAAATCCAGGAGATATTCATCATTGATTTCATACCTGCGACAGCACCAGACAGAAGGTGATTCGCTGGGGCATTCGCTTGAAGCGCTTCGTCACGATCAACAGTACCAGCACAATACAACAGGCAGCCGCACCGGCCACACTGATGTCAAACGAAAAGGCATCCAGCTCATGCAGATAATCAAGTGGCTTTAGATTCGTCAGCGATATCATTTTCGCTGATATAAACATCAGCGGCGCTGAGATGAATGTGCAGAAAACCATGCTACGAGCGACCTGAACAAAGGGAATACATAATCAATGAGAAGCGGAATTGAGGGACTTTCAATCCAATTACCAATTCAACCTCCATGTTGTACTGCGTCGCAATGACGAAAGCCCCGGGGGCAGCTGGAAATGTGCCGTAGAGAAAGCCGAAAGTGCTCAGTTCGGTGGTGTCGTTAAAGTTCTGGCCAGACTGCATAATGTTAACAGTTTGCCGAATGACCAATGGTAGCACCAATCTGTGAATAAAGAATACATATGTTAAGTGATGACTAAAACATGTTTGCAGGAAAACTTACATTTTAACCAATATAAGAATACCAGGCAACAGGAATCCTGTACTCTTTCGTTCAGACCCTGTGCCACCTACAATCTTCAGACCAAGTAGGAACAAGGCTGTGGCCGAAAAGCTCTGACCAAGAACACGCAAAGTACTGGACACCATTTCAGGCAGGCCATGTGGAAACAGGAAACCGCCTGCAACTCCCAGCAAGGTCATTAGGAGCAAAGGGTTGAAGAACAGCGCAATAAGGGTGTTAAAAACCAGTATAGATCGTTCACCCAGACAACGATTCCTTTTGGCCATCTGCTCCGCGGGACAAGTTTCTGGGCAGAGTGGTGGATTACGGGTCTGAAAGGGATTAGAAGTGAGTATGTTGGGCGGGATGACGGAATTTACACTCAAATACTAACCACATCCTCTTTATTCTTGATTATCTTAGAGATCTCCATGAGCACAAGACCAACGGGATTCAGTATAGCCAATGAGATGGGAGCCATCAGATAAAGATACGAAGCATATTCCGGGTGCACATCCTTGTAAAGAGCCATAACTGCAGCGAAATTAATATGTTTAATAGATTGCCATAAAACGTATATAGTTTAAAATAAAGATCTGATTTTGAAGGAATTAATTAATCAAACCAAATTAACAAACCTATGACGAAAAATCAATCAACGAAGAGATCACACTATATATAATTATATAATGTATTAATATACAGTAAAATGGAACCAAGATGTGTTATTTATCGGTAATTTGAACGTGTTCGGCCAATTATATTACAAACTACAAAACTAAACGGCCTATCGCCTGTTCGTGTCAAGTATTAATTTTTCTTTTATTTCAAAAGCAATTGTTTTTTAGTATTTGTATGTCTAATCGATGTACTTTTGAGTTTTAAATTAAAAATTTTAAACGTTGCGTAGAATGCAAACGCTATAATTATCATGAATTTCTACAAATGACTCGTAACAAATCGTATTCGCTAAGGGCTAGCTAATAATTTGATTTAATTTTTATTTTTTTAATAGTAATTTGCATTTGGGAAGCTTAACAAAGTGTTTACACAGTTTGAAGTACTGAAAAGGACCACAATTATCTCGTAATCTACAAATGATTTCACCGATGTGGACTCTTTGTACCGACTGTAACTCACCTATGGGATAGCCGATGGCAAAGTCATTGCTCTGGGTGCAGAAAATGGCCATCAATCCGCCGCGGGCGTAATTCAGGGGCCTGGCGACCAGCAGCGAGATGATCAGCACGGCGAAGAAGACCACCGCCTTTGAGACGAGCATGGCCAGCAGGAAGCTCCAGTTCACGGCGTTCCAGTTGAGCTCCACCAAAGAGAGGAAGATCAGGGATGGCAGGGCGAAGGTGCCCACGAAGGTGCCCAGACCCTTGGTTTCCGCATTGCTGATGATCTTGAAGCGTCCGGCAATGTAACTGCAACAGGGAGTGAGTAAAAGGAGAACATTACATTACACCAGTAATCAGGTTGTAAAGGCGTGTCTGGCCACGCCCCCTCTGACCAGAAGGTGCTTATTTTTAATGCTAATAACCCAGCCAGCCGGAAAGGCGGAAACTCTTAATCAATATGTTCAAGTGTACTACATGCATATAAACAAGAAAGGAAAGCTAACTTCGGGCGGAGCCGAAGTTGATATACCCTTGCAGAATACTCTGTAAATTATATTCTCCAAAATTATTCATATGATGCATTCTTAATACTCATAAAAAATCCGAACTTCCTAACTTTAACAACAACAAAGTTATGGCATTTCCAATCGTTCAGTTATATGGCAGCTATAGGATATAGTCGGCCGATCCTTATGAAATTTGATAGGTCGGATTGATTGGCCAAAAATAAAATCCATAGAAAATCCCAACTTCCTAACTTAACAAACACCAAAGTTATGGCATTTCCGATCAATCAGTTATATGGCAGCTATAGGATATAGTCGGCCGATCCTTATGAAATTTGGTGGGTCGGATTGATTGGCCAAATATAAAACCCATAGAAAATCCCAACTTTCTAACTTTACAAACACCAAAGTTATGGCATTTCCGATCAATCAGTTATATGGCAGCTCTAGGATATAGTCGGCCGATCCTTATGAAATTTGGTAGGTCGGATTGATTGGCCAAATATAAAACCCATAGAAAATCCCAACTTTCTAACTTTACAAACACCAAAGTTATGGCATTTCCGATCAATCAGTTATATGGCAGCTATAGGATATAGTCGGCCGATCCTTATGAAATTTGGTAGGTCGGATTGATTGGCCAAATATAAAACCCATAGAAAATCCCAACTTCCTAACTTTACAAACACGAAAGTTATGGCATTTCCGATCAATCAGTTATATGGCAGCTATAGGATATAGTCGGCCGATCCCGGCCGTTCCGACTTATATACTGCGTGCAAAGGAAAGAAGGGTGTGTGCAAAGTTTCAATCCGATAGCTTTAAAACTGAGAGACTAGTTTGCGTAGAAACAGACAGACGGACAGACGGACAGACGGACAGACGGACATGGCTATATCAACTCAGGAGGTGATCCTGATCAAGAATATATATACTTTATAGGGTCGGAGATGTCTCCTTCACTGCGTTGCACACTTTTGACCAAAATTATAATACCCTCTGCAAGGGTATAAAAACAATCACCAGAGCCACACGTGATCCCCTCGTAAACCAGTTTTATTTCGGTCTGTCTCTTGGCTAACAAAGATTTGTAAACGTTTTTATTTTTGTGCGAGTATTTGTATTTCTGTCACACTCGTTGAGACAAATTAATCTGGTAATTCGGAGTAGGGAGTATTTCCCCCAGCTTTATTCGTACTAGTTAAGCGACCTTTCCTTATGACTCAGTACGGTTAAATGCAATTCCGCTGGATTTATACAGATGTTGTGGATTTTACTTGGGAAGTACCTAGTAAATTTCTTATCTCCGGAAGATGTGCGAGACACATATTGGCACAGCTTAGCTTCTGGTTTTGTGAACCCCGTGTCTCATAGATGTTGGCGAGAATGATTTTTCCCAGGAATTCGAAACACTTTTAAACAATATCTATGTTTGTTTAGTGCGAGTGTAGTCTTGAAGAAGTTACACGATATGTCTGATAAGAAAGTGTGACTATTCGAATGCTGAAAAGTCAGAAGATAGACATATGAATACCCTAATGATTATAAAAATTAGTAATTCAACTTATGTTTGATAATGTAATTACAAACTTTTATTTCAATATGTCTTTGGATCTCAAAAACACATGTTTTAACAGGTGCTTTAAGAAAATTTAAAAACAAAATGCTAACTTAAACAGAATAACGTCAACCATTTTTTCCTTATTTACCATACCCAATTATCCGTTGAGCAAAACAAGTGTTCTAGAAAGTCAGTCAAGAGGAACAAAACCGAAATTAGTCACTCTAGCAAGAAAAGAAGTAAAACCTCAAATTGGAAACTGTTAGGATCGGCACGGAAATATTCACCTTACGTGTCCAAACAAAGTATAAGTGCATTAAATTACATTGCAAAGTAACTCTCGCTCAGAATCGCAAGAAAAAGCTGTCTAAAGTGTCTAGATTAGAACGGTTTACATATACTATTCATGAGATCAAGGCATCTATTATACTCGAACTGCAGCTATAACTCAAATCATAACAAACGGTGCTGTTTATACCCCCGTAATTACTGGTAGCGCTTATCAGGTTATTCCCACACTATACAACAGGCAAATGTTCTATAGCAAGTCGATCAAATTCTCACAGTCAACGCAAACAAGAGAGATTCATCAAATAAATGATTAAATATAATTTCAATCTGATAACAGTCGTAAAACAAAAATTAATTGCATTACGAGCACCATTTAAAACTGAAAATGATGTGTATTATTCGGTTACCCTATAATTATAGAGTGCAAAAGGTTGTATACCACTTTACGGGAGATATTTGTAAAGGCACCAATTAAAAGGTTGATAGGAAGATTTATTGATTTTTAATTACTGCAAAATTTAGAGTTAAAGTAAAATTGTGAGCTAATTAATATTGACTTAATTGAACTCAAATAACATAATATTTTTAAACTTGAACCAGTTCTATTAGCAATCGATTTATTATGGATAAAAAAGAAATATTAATATAAAATTTATTTTCTAGCTGAAAAGACTTGTCAATTAAATTGTTAATCGGTGGAAGATAGATAACGTTATAACTATTTGACTATTTTTTAAAAACTATTTCATGATGAATTTAAATAAAATTAAATAAATAAATGGAATGGAAAATAAATTGATAGGAATTACATTTATCAACAGACAAGAAATGGACTGAATATAGGGTATTTTCACAGCTGAGAGTCCGATTCTACTAGTAAATTCTAAAGTCAGATGCCAACGAACGCGGCGAGAGAACTGTTAAGTAATGTATAAGCGAACCCGTAATCGAGTTTGTATAGGCGATATCTGTAATTGTTTGATTGAACAGTTGGAGGAGGTGCATCTGCCAGTTGGTCTTTGTCTGGGCATGCATATCGCCAGTAATTGGCAGTGATCGGTAGACAAATCGGTAATTGCGGTTACATAATCCATAATAGTGCTGTGCAAATATTGCCACAGGTGAAGTGGCTTGATATTGTTTACAGCTTTAGTGCTAAACACTGTATTGCAAGGTCATTTTTGTAATTGTCTTACTCACTTTTTACGTTTTTCTCGCACTCTCTAAACGTTTTACTTTCGATTATTGCCCACTGGCAATTAAGTTTCGGCTCAGATGCATATATAAAGATTGATATGGGACGTACACAATTTACATATGCCGCTCCCTATTGTTATTGAGCAATTTTTTGTATGTCAAATTTAATAGAGGCTTCACGGCAATTTCCCAGGAAAAGTGCCACGAGCGGCGGGAATGAATTAGTTCAAATTTAGAAAATCGTTTTGAATTATAATTGCTATTAAAGTGGTGGGTAAACATTGGGAAACAATGTAGCTAACGGAAACAAAGAAATTCCCCATTAAATAGTCGGAACAAAAGGTTTAAAAAGTTCGGATTTTTTAGGTGACTGATCAATCAATATCAGTTACCGACTTGCAATGACTAATCGGAAATTTTGTAATTTTGTAACCCTTTTACAAACGCTAACAAATTAAGCATAACATTTTTTCGCAATACATCCGCAATTATACAAAGAACTGCTGTTAATTTAAATAAAAGTCGAAACAAAAAGTAAGGTGAAGCTTACGAAAGGTTAATTTAATGTCTTATATTTAATAAGGAAATGGTCACATTTTAATATATAATATAATATATATATAAAATAATAATGAATAAATCCAAATCCCTATATTGTTAATTTCCAAATTTTTAGCAAATTGTTTTTGCAGACACGCCAAATTTAACCCAAATAAACCTAAATTGTATTTCTAAAAATAATAATAAATTAATTTTACTGATTAAAGATAATTTGCTGGGTTTGTTTGAAAAAGCAAACGATTCAATTTGGAGTACGCACAGACAGTGAGACAGCAGTTTACCGAAGATAATAAAAACCGAGTGTCAATTGATAAGTGGGGGAAAACAAATCAGAGAAATTGAATCCAGACGGTGTACGACATAAGTGGCGATCAGTGTACGAGCAAGTGCACAGATAACTTTCTTTTGCCGCACGTACCCACTAATCTTTACGATAACATGGACTATGTCTGAGATGGGACCTTGCGTGGGATGGGGCAAGTCATAGTGTAATTTTTGTTACTCAATTACCTGTTGACATTACCCTAATGGAGTTACAAAAGTTCTAACTACAAAAACATGTGTAAATATACATATTTACTGAAAATTTCTTTTGAATTTGTCAATTTCTAACTAGAGTTTTTTTTTAATTTAAGCAGGTACCCTTTGTTAGTGGGCTAGGGAAATGAATAAAAGTTATCATTTTGTCTAGTTAGATATTTTAATATTGGCCATATCAATTTATGACTCTGTTAAACCATCTAATAATGAGCAATATATAATATATCGGGGCTTAAGGACCCTTAGACATTAGTACCAAATTAAATTATATTGGCTTTCTGTTCTATCCATTTTCTGTAAATAAAATGTAACCTATTTACTTAATTATCTTCCTAAAATTCGTATAAATCTCAATTTAAAGTGCAAAGTACCGTACAAACAGCAAGAAAATAGCTTTTGTTTAAACATAGTTATATGTTGTCCACACAGTGAGGTTAGTAATCAAAAGTGTACATAAAACTCCACCTAATAAAGTAAATAATTTCCACTTAGGGTGGTTAGCCTGTACCTGAATCGAACAAAAGCGCACATTGGACGTTAGGGGTGAAGGCCAGCATGGTATGTGGGGTAAAATCGATGGGTAATCTTATCGGGGAGGATGCGTAGGCTAACTATCTGGATACCAAGTGCTATCTATCCTATGTACTAACCCGCAAATGATGATGCCAAAGCACTGAACCAATGCCGGATAAAAGTTGTTCATGGAGACGCCTCCATCGTCGGCACGCGGTGTAGTAGTTATATTGGCCAAAGATGAGGCCATGGTCGATGCGATGACCCTGACATTAGCCTCTGTGCTCGCAGCGATTCGCTCCCTTGCATAGTACATGGAGCTATCCATTTGGGGATTACTTTGGAGTGGATTTCAGAGTGGGCGGTTACAGTTAGTGGGCGACTTTGCACGTCATAACGGAAAAAGCAGGGTGCTCCGCCAGCCAAACAGCTGATGAGCTGTGACGTCAATGGGCCAATAGCGTATTTATTGAATTTTCGCCTTTTGTTCTCTTGCAAATCTTTTACTCTATTATTTAACTGACTTATTTACGCAGTTTTGTTTGCTCGAATCTTGCCAATTTTCGTTGTTGTTGGTTATATTTAGCACTCTTTTGAATCGTTCATAAATGGTAGAAAATCAAAATGCCCGACAGGCTGATTTCACTTTCATCTTTTCAAGCGATGCATTCCTGATTTTTGTAGCCGCGGCACTTGCTTTTGGGAATTAGTTAAATGGTTTAATTAGCGGAAATTAGATTAGTTAAGAGCTAAAAAGCGCCCGCCGATGCGTTTTGTTTTTAATTTGCAACGCGAATGGTGGGACCGTGACGCGGTCGTTTTAATATACCTGCTAGCGAAGGAAAATGTACTAAAAAAACCTTGTATATACCAAAAATACCAGTGCAGACTGAAAACCGTTAAGGATTTAATTTAAAACACTGCACACTTTAATTCTACAAATATTATAAATCAATAAAGCAAACAACTTACATTGAGAAGCGTTTTTAGAACATAAAACGTGACGACAATGGTCGAGCTATTTAGAAACGCAATTTTATATGTTAATAGCAACAATAAAGTGATTTGATAAAGTAGACCAGGATTTCATTTGATTAAATTATTTAAAATTCATTATTAATTATCTTACCTATTCAAAACTTCACACAATCCTGATATGTTTAAATATTAAAAGCTACTCTTTGCTTTAAAAAATTAATTGTCAAACAAACCGAACTTCACTAAATTAATATTATTATTTATTATTAGTAAACTTCTTTGAGGTTTGATGACTGTATTCAAATAACAAATTAAAGAATCTTAAAGAACAGTGTGACCGCAATAAGATCAAACAGTGCTGCCTAATGCTTGAGAGATGGGCATCACTGGCTAAGAACAGCTGATTGGTCTCTGAAAAAGAAGAAGAAAATTAGTCATCAAACAAAAATTGTAAAACGAAATTAGCAGGAAATCCCGTAAATTCTCGTTCATATTTGCAATTTAAGGAAAAAACATATTAAAATGAATCGCCTTTTTGGTCGTGGCAAGCCCAAGGAACCGGGTCCAAGTCTAAACGATTGTATATCCGGTGTAAGTAGAAAAAACATGTGAAAAACTAAGCAAATAAAGTTTTCATTATACCTTATAGGTTGATGCCCGTGCCACAAATATTGAGGAAAAGATCAGCAAACTAGAAGCCGAACTGCGCAAATATCGCGAACAAATGTCCAAGATGCGCGAAGGTCCTGCCAAGAATTCCGTAAAACAAAAGGCACTCCGGGTGCTCAAACAAAAGAAAGCGTAGGTTCAAGACCCCACCCTCTGGTTTCATATTGATTCGCTGCCATGATTTCCTTTTTATACTCTCTTATACCATCTGAATTTCACTTGGATATTTTATTTTATTAACTTTATCGAAAATACTAGTATACCATTTTTTAAATCAATTTTATTTTAATTCTGATTTGTTTATCAAATATTTCTAACTAGATTCAATATTCCCTCCTACAGCACTTGTATAAATCGATGTTTACCTCACAAGCCTTTTATTTGTACTATCACAACTTAGTTATTATCACCTTGATCAAGTTAATATACCCTCCTCCAATTTGTCTTTTAACCCATCGATTTATAAACCACTTCTTAACTTGATTTGCATACCCTATAGCTACGAACAGCAGGCGGAATCTCTGCGCAACCAGTCGTTTAACATGGAACAGGCCAACTATGCGGCGCAATCCTTGAAGGACACTCAGGCTACCGTGGCGGCCATGAAGGACGGAGTGAAGCAAATGAAGACCGAGTACAAGAAGATCAACATCGACCAAATCGAGGTGAGCCCAGTTTCTATATGTCACATAATAAGTGAGTTTTTGTTCTAAATCAATAGTAATACATGAAGTAGTTCTTTGACTAAAATCTAAAAACACAAAACAATTCAAAAATAATTGGTAACGGTACTTGTTAAATTTTGTCTTTAATAACAAATTATATTATTCATTGAAAAGGTATACCAACATGCAACTAGAATATTAATTTAAATATTTTCATTTATTTAAAGGACATCCAAGACGACATGGCTGACATGTTTGAGCAGGCAGACGAGGTGCAGGAGGCACTGGGTCGCACCTACGGCATGCCCGAGGTGGATGACGATGACCTGCAGGCTGAGTTGGATGCCCTGGGCGACGAGATTGCTCTAGACGACGACACCAGCTATTTGGATGATGTGGTCAAGGCTCCGGAGGCTCCGAGTCGAGAGCCAGGAGCAGATAGCATTGTGCCTGGAAAGGTAAATACTTGTGTATAAGGGTAGTATAACTAGACCATTTAATCTATTTTTGAATCGCTTACAGAGCACAATTGAAACGGATGAATTCGGCTTGCCCAAGATCCCTACTTCGCTGAAGACCACATAGGCAAAAAGCTGACAGTTCTCAGGTTTCCACAATGCATCCTTTGTTGAACTTTTGGCACGCTTTGTATATTTTATGTGTAAGGGAGCCGTCAAAGATTTCCTCTCAAACCTCACTTTTGTACCCATTTGTTTTTTTCAATAAATAGCCGGCTAAAAAATCACGCCACATTAAGCTACAGTCGAACTTTGTTAATATAAACTAGGAGTTGTCATAAAATGGAGTTACTGGTACATTTTTAGTTACATTTTAAATTGTTAACTAGAATATGGGATGCCATTAAGCCTGGGTCTTGCATTATTTTTCTTATTCTCCTTATTTTGACTCTTGTTTGAAGACGATTAATAAATTCACAATGTTAAAATAGAAGCAAATATTCGATAAAATGACATACGTATCGTATGAGTAATTTTTTTGATAACTTTGAAATCGAAACATTTGTAGTCTTTCGAATAAGTCCACCATTTAAAATGGTGAAACAAGTTTTTTTGTTTATATTCTTACAATAGTTTTATGATATTTTTTGAGTGTTTAATTTTCATTACAGGTAAATTTTTAAATTCAAAAATGTTATTGAAAAAACTCATAATTGTTGTGGTTACAAAAAGTATGCTAAAACTAGACGTACAGAGGAAGCACTGTAGTTCCTTTGATCGCTCTCTTTGGCTCTTCTGCACTGCAGTTGCTCTCTTAGCCTCGCTCTCACCCACACTCGCGCGTGAGTAGGCTCTCTTTGCTTGTTAGGCGAAGGTAACTGGGAGCTTTGAAGTTCAGAGCGTGAACTTGAGCGGCGCGCGTGTTTCTCTGCCGTTGCGAAGTGAGCGAGTGTGAGTGCGTGTGCGGTGTGCGGTGAGCTGGTGTGGGTGAGCGGGTCTCAGTGCAGTGCCTGTGTGCTGTGCAAAAATAAAGCGTTCGCCGTTTAGTCATAGCATAGAGTAAGAAACTATATAGAGGTTTCATTTGCTCTGCCCGTCGATTTCTCGACGCCGGCCCGACGCCCGTGTTTGAACGGTGTGGTGAAAATATCAGCTGTTCAAACTTGTGCGAGGGACCAGGAATAGGATGCAACCGCCGTAAGAGCTGCGTGCGATTGAAGAGTACAGCAAGTAGGGGTTGAATTCAAAAAATTTGGCGGGCCTCGGTTATATTTTGATAGATTTATGATATTTTAGTACTTTTAAAGAACGCAATCAACACTTTAAAGAACCCAAATAACACTTAGCAACGTTGTTTCATAAATAAAATGCAAAAAATGTGTTTATATATGGCTAAATTTGTAGAAATATTTTATTTTTGGGAAAATATAGCCCAGGGGTTGCATATAAATCGATGGTAATTCGGAATCCTTATTAATTCTTATTCTTTTAATGATTTCTCTGCAGAACATCAGTTTGTTTACTTTCAATGCATTCACCACACTTCGAACCGCCATAGAGTAAGAAACTATATAGAGGTTTCATTTGCTCTGCCCGTCGATTTCTCGACGCCGGCCCGACGCCCGTGTTTGAACGGTGTGGTGAAAATATCAGCTGTTCAAACTTGTGCGAGGGACCAGGAATAGGATGCAACCGCCGTAAGAGCTGCGTGCGATTGAAGAGTACAGCAAGTAGGGGTTGAATTCAAAAAAATTTGGCGGGCCTCGGTTATATTTTGATAGATTTATGATATTTTAGTACTTTTAAAGAACGCAATCAACACTTTAAAGAACCCAAATAACACTTAGCAACGTTGTTTCATAAATAAAATGCAAAAAATGTGTTTATATATGGCTAAATTTGTAGAAATATTTTATTTTTGGGAAAATATAGCCCAGGGGTTGCATATAAATCGATGGTAATTCGGAATCCTTATTAATTCTTATTCTTTTAATGATTTCTCTGCAGAACATCAGTTTGTTTACTTTCAATGCATTCACCACACTTCGAACCGCCATAGAGTAAGAAACTATATAGAGGTTTCATTTGCTCTGCCCGTCGATTTCTCGACGCCGGCCCGACGCCCGTGTTTGAACGGTGTGGTGAAAATATCAGCTGTTCAAACTTGTGCGAGGGACCAGGAATAGGATGCAACCGCCGTAAGAGCTGCGTGCGATTGAAGAGTACAGCAAGTAGGGGTTGAATTCAAAAAATTTGGCGGGCCTCGGTTATATTTTGATAGATTTATGATATTTTAGTACTTTTAAAGAACGCAATCAACACTTTAAAGAACCCAAATAACACTTAGCAACGTTGTTTCATAAATAAAATGCAAAAAATGTGTTTATATATGGCTAAATTTGTAGAAATATTTTATTTTTGGGAAAATATAGCCCAGGGGTTGCATATAAATCGATGGTAATTCGGAATCCTTATTAATTCTTATTCTTTTAATGATTTCTCTGCAGAACATCAGTTTGTTTACTTTCAATGCATTCACCACACTTCGAACCGCCATAGAGTAAGAAACTATATAGAGGTTTCATTTGCTCTGCCCGTCGATTTCTCGACGCCGGCCCGACGCCCGTGTTTGAACGGTGTGGTGAAAATATCAGCTGTTCAAACTTGTGCGAGGGACCAGGAATAGGATGCAACCGCCGTAAGAGCTGCGTGCGATTGAAGAGTACAGCAAGTAGGGGTTGAATTCAAAAAATTTGGCGGGCCTCGGTTATATTTTGATAGATTTATGATATTTTAGTACTTTTAAAGAACGCAATCAACACTTTAAAGAACCCAAATAACACTTAGCAACGTTGTTTCATAAATAAAATGCAAAAAATGTGTTTATATATGGCTAAATTTGTAGAAATATTTTATTTTTGGGAAAATATAGCCCAGGGGTTGCATATAAATCGATGGTAATTCGGAATCCTTATTAATTCTTATTCTTTTAATGATTTCTCTGCAGAACATCA